TTTTTTTTTACCTCGTTTCCGTCGTTTAAAACTGGGATGCACTTGCATTCGCAGATGTTTGCCCTTTTGCTATTTTTGCTTTTATTCCTTTTTTTAAACCCGTTTAAAACCTTTCATTTCATCATCTTGTTCGGCATTTCCGTTTACCCTATTTAACATTTTCCACTTTTTGGCACATTCCAACTATTACATCCTCTTACGGGGCGGTTCTTAGTCTCCTATATAAGTTATCCATCCCTTTTTTCGCAGCCTTGGGTCTTCATCTTCATACGACCTCAAAACTATCGAAGGGCCTCATCTCTGGATATTCAACTCCACTCTTCCTGAAGATTGTTGTCATCCATCAACGCCACCTTTGCTCATATGTTCGAGGGCCAACTGTAGTCTTCTGCTTTTCTCTTGTTCAACACTCGATACCCCTTGTTCGGCAAGCCCCTAAGAGCTTCATATCTCAAGCGCCATGCTTTGTATTATTTGTCTGCTACTGCAATCATCACCACTAGTAAGCCATAAACATACTTTTTTCATTCACTCTGCGCACACAATCAATGTACCATGCCACACTACGGCCCACTACACGCAACAAGCTTCCATTCCTCCTCTCCCCAAAATCATAAAAATTTTTACTGGACTATCACCAGTGTTTAAGCTTCATGCTGCTCAAATGATTCGCTTCAGAGAGTAGGTAGCAAAACAAAATCGAAATTTTTGTAGCGAAAGCATACCCTGACTCCAGCCAGCACTATCAAGCCTAATATAAACAGTAGTCCTGTGCCCAATATCCGAAAGCAGTTGTAAACATTGTCAAAAATTTTTGCTGCTGGCACAAGATATAGCTGAAATCGAAGCATTTAAGTACGAATGGTAAACACAACGAAAATTTGATTCATTTCGGGAAGTGTTAAGAAATTTAGCTCATACAACTTTCCGAAATTACAAATTGGATTTCAGATAATTTCCGTAAAGTTTCAAAGTTTTTTGCCCTGCACTGTTATAGCAACAACTTACAATTAATATTTCAACAGCTCCAGTGATGTACATTGACGCAGCCACCGTCGTACCCAAATAAAATAGTATACCAACAGCACCGCCAAATTCTGGGCCAAGATTGCGGGAGATCATATAGTAAGGACCACCACCCGGTACAACTCCATTTGTGGCTATTGCCGACAGTGATATTGAGGTTAAGAATGTCTGTAACAAAGCGCTAAGCATTGTTTTCATCAAATTTTTATGTGTAAGCTTATTTGAGTGAATGGAAACAAAGAAGCGAATTTACTCATTATCTCCTCTGTCAAAATAGATCACTCTGGATAACACCAGGCCAGAATGAGGACAAAGCTTAGGCGGCAATGCAGAAAAGAACTTAGTCGAAAGCGTACCGGCTGCCCGGTACGAGGATGCGTTTTTTGCACAGTTCCCCCGCAGG